AATAATGATAATAATAATAATAATGTTGTCTTAGGGTCATTCCCCAGTATTGCATTGCGCATCCCTACTGCGTATAATTTCACGCGTGATTAGCGCGCGCATTAAAAAATGGCGGTTTTTTTCTCTCGCCATAGAGGTAAATCGTCATTTTCTCGAAAACGAGCATGGCGACCTATAATTTTTTTTCTGTTGTTTTGAATTGAGTAATAAATTTCTCTATGTAAAATAAATATGGACCAATTCTCAGTGTAGAACAAGAAACAATCGTCGGAAAGGTGAATTTAGCAAGCAATCGTGACTACAATCATGGTGCCATTATAAGGATTTATTGGGTATAAACAAGGTGCTGTCGCTCCTAAACGAACACGGGGACCCCTCATTTTTATTTCAAAATTTAAGTTCCTATAATATAAACAATCAATAGACAAATATCAATAGACAAAAATATCAGTGCAGGTTCTATTTCAGTGGAATGACCTTAACTCAACAGATACGCTTATCACAGTTCTAAGTGGGTAGTGGCGGGAAATGCTGACGCCCCCATGCCAGGCCGCGTGTACATTCACCCTGATTCTCCCGCGCTTGGTGAAGATTGGATGAGACAAGTAGTATCGTTCGACAAAGTCAAACTGACCAATAACGAGCTTGATCAACAAGGACACGTAAGTACTTGGAATAAAATATATTGAAGAATAGCTAACCCGGCCCATGTAGGCGCGGTGACCTAATGGTTAGTGCGCTCAACTCCGGATCGTGCGATCCAGGTTCGAGCCCTGGCCGGAGACATTGCGTTGTATTCCTGGGCAAAACACTTTACTCTCACAGTGCCTCTTCACTCGGGTACAGATGTGTTTTACAATTTCCCTAAACACTCTTCCAGACAATAAAGGGCGTCAGTCAATGACCGTTTTGGACAAAATAAACAAAAAGAGGATATATTTTCTGGTTAAAAATGGCCAATTTTTCAGTTTCTTTTTCCCTGACCACTCTTTTTTTGCAATTTATAGATAATTCTGCACTCCATGCACAAATACCAGCCCAGAATTCACATCATCAAGAAAAAAGACACCTCGGACATGGTCACTGTAGACGTGGAGAGACCTTCGTCGTTGAAAAAGACGTTCTTATTTCCAGATACGGTTTTTACAACGGTAACGGCGTACCAGAACCAACAGGTATCATCTTATGAAACTAACTTTATTTAACTTTAACAATATCAACGACATTGCCTTGATCAACCGTTCTTGAAAAGAAAGTTCCTGTAATTTTTTTTTTGGCACAAGACAGTTATCACTGAGTTATTGATCTTTTAAACACAGAAATAGGATGTAGTTTTATGAATCTATCTTGAATCCTACTTGAATGTTTACGGCGTTTAATATGTGCCACTAAGGCACGAAGAGGATTATGTATGTGGATGTACCTTGAAAATGGTGCACGCTTAAAACATTGAAACGTCGGCCTACTGAAATTTTAATATTTCTTCTGAAGTTTTTACAGCAAACCATTAAACACATAATATCGATTAACGCGCCTTTTTGATCGTTTTGTTTGCTACCCGCGCCTAATTAATTACTGATCTATAGACGGCCCCAATACTTAACAAATTCTAGAGCTTGAAAGTTTGCCAACAGTCATTGACAAGGTAACAAGAAACGTAGGATTTCTTCGTGACAACTTACTATTTAATTGAAAGGGCGCTTTGAAATTGGTTATGTTTCTGTGGTTACAATTTGTTGGAGATATTCATTTTGATGTATTTAAGCATTGCTTGGTACGGTAGTATAGTTGAGAATCAACGTAAAGTAAAGTAAATAAGGCTAGAAAAGTTAAAGATGCATCAGTTATTTTAATGACCTTTAATTAAAGAACTACATGTTTTGCAGACTGAGCGATGTCACATCATTAAATCAAAAGAGTACGTATGCATATCTGAAAGGTTGACCAAAAAAATAACTTTAAAAAAATTGCCCCCATATAGTTAACGCATGTTAGGGGTATTCGCTCAGTCATGTACCATCTTTTAGTGAAAAAGAACAACGGAACAAGAACTCATTAACAAGAGCAACAACAACAGGCTTATCACCGCTATATCTATACTATATTTATTCAACCTCAACCATAAATAACTGGAAAGTATGCAAAAATAGACTTGATTAATGTAATTTCATGCTCACTCAAGTAAACAGCATTTAGGAACGTTTCAGAACCGACACTCATCAATTCATTTTTATGCGCAGACTCCTAGCTTCATAAACAATATTGTATATGAACGCGCAATATTGTTTCGAAGTTCACTGAATGCTGAAGGGAAGATTGGCTAAAGATCGGCCAAGAGATGGAAAACAAAATGTTGGTGACTGACCAACTGCTTTCCATCCAAGCAACAAGTCGAGCAGTTGCACTTTTTATCAGAGCGGTCATCTACAAGGTTAAAGACCTTAAACGACTTCCTTTTGTCCGCAGTCTTTAAGAAAAACGTCTGTTTTTCTCATCACATTTACTGCCTGTGTGTGGGCAGTTTCTATCGTATCCACTTCTCCCTTTGGTTTTCAATCGAGCAACTAAAAAAAGTCTTAGATTTAAACTGGCTTTTTTCTTTCTTTTTCCAAGGTTGTCTGATACTGTTTTCAAACGTCACGCTTAATCCAGCAATAAGTGCAATAAAATGTGGCGAAAGCATTAAAACAAACAACTTCCCTCCAGGCGCTGAGACTGTGTTTTCCTTTGAACAGGCGCTAAAAGTATGTTTTTATAATTCACTCTCGGTAAATACATCCTGGCCGGAATAAGCCAAATTCCCGTCGGCATATTATTCCGTCGATTACTCGTTGATTACCCAATCGATGCACCGATAATGGACACGGTCCCTTTGAACTCGGAATTGTTTTGCATCAATTTCCTTAATGGCCGCAATAGGACCGGACTCATTTGCCTCCAAACCGGCGCATTTACGTGACAATGGAATTGTTTTATGATGCTGTTTTGTGAGTAAACGTCAAGGTGTTTGATCAAAACGACTTATGAAAAAAAAAAAAAAAAAAAAAAAAACACAGAGTGAGTAGCTCACATTCATTGCATAAATCTGAAAAAAAAAAGCATAAAAAAAGACGCTATTGAAACGCCTTCAATATTACTCATACCCACAAGTTAACAAGTAACTTTAAAAATAAGGAGCACATTTTAAAAAGAGGTAAAATACGCCCCCGTTCCAGGAGTGAGGTGTGGTACAGTCCCTCTTCAGAGAAGCGACGTCGTAAACAAGCGCTTCGAGCGTGCCTCAAATTGTAAATCGACGGGCTTCCAGCGCGAGCAACAACGGACAACGTCTTTCACTTTGATGAGGACGAACACTGCCGAACATTTGGTATACTGAACAAAACAGTTTACGACACCCTTAAAAATAGTCTACAGCCCATCGTAATTCTGGTTCTGGAATACAATAATCGTATCCTAAATACATGGAGCTCGACGTTTCCTACTAAATCGATGTCCCCTTTCTTTACGTATAAAATCCGCTACATAAATGATACAGGTATATAAGGTAAACTTGTCCCTAGCTTACATTGGTTTGGTTAAGATGAAGCACCAAATTGCCTTTTCGTACTCTGTGGGTTGACATTTTTCCTTTTTTCTAGTAAACGTTAATTGCAGCGAATGCCGTTAAAAATAGACAAGTGTATGTTCTGCTTGTTTTTCTTTCTCTAAACCGGGACAGTAATATGTATGGATGTTTTATTTCAGATAACTCGATTAAAAATCGACAGTAATCCCTTTGCAAAAGGATTCAGAGACTCTGGCAGAGTAAGGTTAGTGCGCGACAATGGTGATTGTATTTGTGTTATGTTTGATATATATGAGTCCTCGAATTATCGTGGGAGGGTGTCGCGCGGTTTATGAAACCCTTACTCCATGTAAATCTAAGGTAATACGAATTGGTATATAAAAGGACCTAGTCTTTTTGTAAGTCCTATCCCTTTGAAGACCTAAAGCCCCTTTCGGTTAGTTACGAGCGAAGAATGGAGTGTGGAAATGAAAAACCTCGCAGGTGACGTACCTTTGTCTAATTGTTCGCGCTGCGCGCCACGCAATAAAATGCAAACTATAAAAAAAATATACGGCAAAATCTGTACCCCATGTCACACCAAAAAAGGCCCAGGAAGAGCTATATAGTCTACGGCTTGATTAATTTTATGGCGAAGAGGACTGGGGTTATTTAAAGTTCGAATACGTTTCGAGGGTAAACGATCGTATACTTGGTATATGAAATACGTCATTAACTATTCAAGTCATCTGAAGGAAATACAATTTAAGTTAGGATTAAAATTAGTGGTGTTTCAAGCGCAAACCGTCGCCCAGAAACGCTCTAGATCAGATGAATGTTTATCAGTGGCTTTTTGTGTCAAAAATAAGCTTTTGATGTTACATTCTAGACATAGTTGATCCATGTAATCTTGAAAGTGAGACTTAAAATAGAATAGAGATTAGGCGGCATTTATTAAAACCAAGAGATTATCAAGGTGTTAAAACTCGTAAAGACAATTGCAAAATTCAAATTAAGGCTCATTTTCTCAGATATACAAAGCTGTAAAACTGATTACGGACTAATGTCTGTCTTATTGTGGTCTTCATTAAACATGCCTGAAATTACCTGAATTTTTATTCATTACCTGAAATTAATTTTATTTTTTTTGTTGCAAATCATATTTTACTTTATTTATTAACAGAGATCCCATGGAAGAGATAATGCAAGCCTATTCTTACTACAGACCTGCCTCTGGAAGAACATTACTTTACTCAAATTTTGGAAGAGATGAACAGCTTAGCCCTGGTAAGTACGTCGGTACAATACCCATTTTGAAATATTAAAAAAATATATTTGTTGTTGTTTATAGTGGTCAATGCGCTTCGCTGCACCGAGCTAGTTCATAGGCATGCCACTTAAACTGAATGAAACAAATACGTCAACTAAACATAACAGGCTTAAAAATCCCAACTGGCGGGAGGCAGACCAGTTGGCTATTTACAAGCATGACCGAGAAGTTGAACTAGGGTCTACCGAGAAACAACTCGGGATTTCAAGTCCGGTGCCCTAACCACTCGGCCACGCTGCCTCCACTCAAAAATTTTGCTGATAATTTAGGAAAATTGTCATCGCGTAGTTCTTTAGAGCAAGGTATCCAGAGAACAGTTCGCAAGTTTTTGTGTTTTTTTAATTTTTTACTTTGTCAGATCAAAGTTCTTGCTCCCAGCATGCAACAGTGGCAGTACCTTCTCCTTATCAGAACGTTCCCATGAGTCCTACAATGCCTCCTCAGACGCCAACTTGTCACTCAAACACAGCTTTCTCCGCTTTTAATGGACACGCGTGTTTATCGTCCCTTCCGCATGGTGCCATGGTGCCCACACAGTATCATATGACCCCTTACTGCTCAGCCACAGAAACGTTCGGGACTTTTAGTCACGCGTTCCATTCAGCAGTGTCACCGTTTTCAGCGTGCGCGGCAAATGGCGTGATCAACCAATCAGATAACGGCTTCAGTCATCAGGGAAATGGGTTCCAAGGAAATCCCTACGCTACCACGCACGCGTTTACGACACATACAGTATGAATATCTTTGTTCTTTTCTTGTCTGCTTGGAAAACTTATCACAACTTCCTATAGAATGAGTTGGACAGTACGTGGATTTCGATGACGATCAGTTATTGACATTTTATTGGGTAATATCAGAAGCATATCACCTAGTCTAGGTGATATGCTTCTGGTAATATTTCATTAATGCAGTTGATTTTATTGTTTGATGTAAATATTCCTAGTTTTATTGCTGTACAGTGTAATTTGTCAGACTATGGTGGTTCGTGAACTTTCTTAATCCTTTCAATGATTTTGTTTGTTTAAAAAATGAGATTGTACACACGAATCAATTGTAAATATAAAGAACTACTTCCAACAAATAAAATTTTGTTTATCTATTCTGTTGTAATTGTCATACATGCAATAGGTAGATATCTTTGAAATTATCAAAAGCAGATAGTCCCGATCAAAATAAATTGCCACTTGATGTTCGAAGAATTTTATTCTTGGGTTTGTTTGGTCAATGCTATATTGAAATACTCCTGCGGGCAAGTGTCAGTTTTTAACTCAGTTTTAAAGATTTCAGTGAACATCTCTCAAATCGATCCGTGCTTGACCAACATTTCAAACTTTATGTATCAAACAGTAACTTAAAACTTTTAAATTCCCGACCCGACAAGAGAAGAAAATCCTTTTCCTACTAAACAGGCGGGATAGGACACTAACAAGCAGCTAGGAAACTATGACAATAAATGCCAAAAACGGCCCAACACATTGAAATTGGTAAAGTTACAAGATCACCACACCAGTAACTGAAAGTACGCATTAGAAAACTAGAAATGGGATCAGTAAAGATACGGCTAAAAACAATTGTTTCATGAGCAGTTTAGCAAGCAACATGAAGTCTAGTGTGGATAGGAAAAGAAGACTGCTAAAACGAACTGTCTTCATCTCCTCTTCCTGTCCTAAGGATCACTTTCGCGATTTTATTTATATCCCATTCCCATTTCTTTAAGCTCGCATTGCAGGCATTTTTAAGGAACGGAACGCTCGATAACCTGGGTTTTCTTGGATTGTAATTAAATGCTTGACCGGTAGAGGCCCTCCAATACTCCCTCGGCAAGTTTTCCATCCACCCAACCCTCCACAGTTGCCAAGTCCAAGATGTCGACCTAATACAAAAATGTGCACTCGCGTGCCCAAATTAAATACGCCTGCATGCACTGCAGGGTAATTTCTTTATGGTATAAGTCCTGGCTTGGCAGTGACAATGTAAATACTGGCTGAACGATTTCTCCTCCAGAGGAAAGAAAACTTATATTCGCTACTATTTTGGGACAGCATTTGTTATCTCCCGATTTGTTTGCATTTCAGTGTGGTACAGATGAGTTCCTGGAAGGTGACAATGCGGACACTCGCTGACCCGATTCGTCTCCAGGCGGCAAAATACTTTGATTTGAGACACCATCTTGAAAATTTCTCTTCTGAACTCGGCATTAAAAACAATGTGACAAAAAGGGTTGATCAGGGAATATGTCATCATTAAACAGAATATTAACATTCCTTCCACGGTCAGCGGGCCGGTAGAACTGACGTCACCAAACGTCATTGCCAAGCTATGCTGATAAAACGGACACAAACAACCCAAAAATAACACCACCTCAATGACGAGGATACGAACCGCTCTCTTGTTCCTGCGATGACGATTTTGTGAGCTCAGGGTGACATCACAAGGCTTCACCACACCATTTCTACGGAGTCTTAAGATGATCTTCATGTATGTTGCCATGAACACTACTCCAGGAAGCCACTGTGTGGCTGGGATGACCAAAAGAAGTGCGTTTGTTTTCCAGCTTTTATCCGATTGGGAAGTGCAGTGAACGAGATCATGCTTGTCCGTGACAAGGTTAAGTGACAGTGCAAACCAGAAGCTCGTGAATAGCCCGATAATCCACGAAACGATAACCAGGTACCTGGCTAAACGAATTGTCATCTGAATAAGAAGAAAAGATCCAAATTAGATCACTGGGTAGGAAATCTCAACAAGCAAGCTAAGGGGGTCTCAATGGGGTTACCGGTTAATTGTATAACGGGGCAGAAAATTAGCCGTTAGGCGTAACCGTAGAACAGTTTATAGCCACGAAAGTAGAAAGTCTCAAGATCTCTTGTCAAGCCTTTTTTGTGCCTTGCCTGTGGCTTGTAAGCTATATTAGTCTACAATTCTTATGGTAATATCTTTGTCAAGCCCGGAATGGTCTTAAGATCTTAAGCTTAAGTATGTTTAAAGCGATGAAAATAAATTTTTAACTTTTTTAAACAATGAAAGTTAATTTTTAACGTTTTAAAATGATAGCAGTTAAGACGGAATCCGAAAGGAAATCGAGCAATTTCAGCTTTTAACGGACAAAAGCCTTTTACCGGAATAACTTTAGGTATATTGCAGCCCTTTTTGCATTTTCTAAAAAGCTAAATATATAAGACAGTTGCCTGCCGGATAACACCAAAAACATTTTCCCATGGTAACTCGAGAAAATAAAATTTCAAAGTTCAGGAAATAAAATTGTGCAAAAACAGGTAAAATTTCATCATCAGTTTCATTTCACCAGTACTTTCAAGTGTTTTAAATGAACTTCAAAATTTGTTTTTGACATTTGGTGTTTTTAGAAATGATTTCTTTTGAGAAGATATTTAAAATAGTCGCACGGAAGTTTGCAATACATTGTAAATAACTTTCGTACAAAAGCTTTCGAACGCTTGTTACTTGAATTTGTGGTGGATTCCTTCTTAATTTTTAAGATTTCTGTTAACCTTAACCCTTTGACGCCCAAGGAGCCATATACGGCTGCTTAATGGTCGTGCTCTCTGTACCACTTGTGACGTCATCAATTTAAATGTCGCCAGATATTTTTTGTAAGCAGATGGTAGAGCTAGAGTAGATCTATCCGCACAACTCTCGTTTTTAGATATCGACGGTATTCTGACGTAGCAAATTGAAAAACGAAACAGCCTTGGTGCAAAAATGGTGGTAAAATGGCCCATTATACCTACAATTGATCAAGGTCCCATTTCCAGGCTTTGCCCATCACTAACGCCTAACTTTTTAGGGCAGCCAGAAAGAATATGAAACGCAAAAGGTAGCGAGAGTAAAAGGGCCGAGAAAAAGGGAAGGAAAAGGGCAATAAAAAACATTCGGAACGGGCAATCGCAAAAAAAAGCCCAAAATTTGGCTTATGCGCACGCACCAAGTTAAAATATTCTACATTTTTGTACTAATCTTGGGGAAATCTATCTGTTGGGTTAAAAAAAAAACTAAACTAAGACCCATTTAGCGTCATGGTAGCCATAAAACCGATTTAACGGTTAAAAACGGCATTTTTTTTTTTTTCGGTGTACATTTGGTCGTTAACGGGTTATGGAAACTGAATTAACCGTTAGCCGTAAAAAGCCAAAATCATCATAAAAGCCACCAACCCATTGAGATCCTCAAGTAATTGAGCAACTACAAATATATTAACAGAAAAATTAATTAAGAGTGGTTTGCAATTTCTAAGACTGTGCATGGATATGCGAAGCACATGTTTGGTTCAAGCGATTTCTTCGTTGATTTTCGAGTTATACGAGGTTCAGCCTTTGAAAATATTTAGTGGAAATTTGGTGCATTCAATATCAGAAGTTTGTGTTACGTTTAGCAAGTACATCGCATCTGTTTCGCTGAAGTACTCCGCAGAAATTTTAAACAAAATCCAAGCAGAAGTTCGTGAGGTTCTTGCAAAACTTTTATTGCAAACGTTTTAACGAATCGGATGGAAAGCGCACTTTTATCAGCGTGAACTTCCGGTCTGACATAGTTTTAAGAAGAAAAATATCGCCATATCAGGACCAGTACGACGCCTTATATTAAAATTCAATGCTTTTTCACTTACCTGTTTCCTCAGTGGTTTCACTACAGCCTGATATCTTTCCATGCTCATGAACATCAAGGTTACTATGGAAACCGTTAGGGAGCTCTGCACAATCATAAATACAACTTTACAGCCAGTCAGACCCAGTCCTGGAGGAAATTCATGGTACTCGAAGTGAGCTAGATAAACCGGTATAAACACGAAAATCCGGATCAAATCTCCCACTGCCAGATTCAGGTTGAGTAAGTTAGTAACATTAGTGATTCTCCTTTTTCGTAAAATCGCCGCAAATAAAAGTAGATTGCCCGCGGTACCGAAGACAAACACGAACGAAAGCCAGATGAATGTTGTCATGTGCTGAACTTCATCGTCAAAATGCGCTGAGTCCCTGCTGTTACCCATCTTCAATCAGAGTGAAATGAATGAAAACTACTTTCAATGAAATGAAAATGACTTCACTGTCTGTTCAGTGAACGTTTTCTCTGCCCTCTTTGTTAGTTGATAAATGCAGTCAGTTATCTGACTGTAACTCCTTGTGATCTCCGTAAACCGACGTTGGCGTCAATTGAACGAAGCATACTAGACTGAATCTATCCTTGATCATCAAGATTACAGAGACCTTCAACAACTGAAGCACTAAAAAAGATATTATTAACTTTTATAGATTAAATTCTGTCACAGTCTCCACTGTTTCCGTTTGGAGAGTCCTTACGCAAATAACCAAAAAGTCCAATGCTGGTGTTTTTCCAAAGAGACGGCAGTTTTTACTGACTTATGCCAAAACAGTTTCCTCTGTACACGAGAGTCTTGCCGTAGCATGTAACAATGAAAAAACAGTGAAGGGGACTGCGGAAACTTGAAAAAATAACCCAATTCTCTCTTATCAGTTTTACGCGCCCAAACAGCCTCCAGCAACTTTGCCTTTTGTCTAACGATAAAGTGAAAAATAAACGCACTTTTAAAGTAGGTCCACCCCACAGCATTGTCAAATGGACAAAGTCAGTCATTGTTTACAATTGCTTTATCGGCTCTGTCTCACATAAGTACAGTGCAGTGAGAGGTTTTTTTTTTATGATAATGCCAGTTTTTGCTGACAACTAAGCTGCGGTGCCAATTTTTTTTAGTTTATACTTAGACACTTGCATGTGCTGATAAACTGAAATTACGTGTAAGTCAAACGAAAAACTTTCAAATTCGCTCTTCGCGTAGGAAATTTAATTATTTTCTCAGGAGGGTTTACTCAAAGATTATTAAACACTTGTCACTGGTTTCCGTCCATGATATCACTTTCCAAAAATAAAATTAGAGAAATGGAACGTGATAGGAATAACAATAATTTCAAGTGTGGTTTTTTAATTCTACAAAAAATGGCAGAAACTCCTTGGTAATTATTTGTCTATCCCTTCAGCCTTTGTTAGTACCCATCCTTTGTTTGTTTTTGTAATTTTGAACATGCTGACTTCTTCCTCTTTACAATCAACAACTAAATTAACACTTTTAGCGCAACTCTTATGAAACTGTCGTTCCGCTGATAGCGTGTCAATGGTCATTAATGTTAGCAAGCAACCGTAGTTAGGCAATTTGAATTTTGGCGTTTAGAGGTACCTGCGGATTGGTACCTGCGGAGAGGTAATTGGATAATTCTCTCTGCGTCTTATAAGAAATCAAGTATTTGTACAACAAAAACTAAACACTTTAAAAACGAAATGTATTGCCAAAACGTAATTTGCAAACTGCGATTTGAAGTTTGGGGATCGCTTCGTGAAAACGAACTACAATCCTTTACCATCTTAGAAAACATCGCTTCTCACCATTTTATTTTAAAATTACAGCAATTTTCGTCATGTCACTGTCACTATCTTAGAGTAAAACGTGATTATGGAATTGCAAGATAAAAAAAGACATCAGACAAGAGTGCTTTTGTGTAAATATTCTATCTTCCCATTTTCAAGACCTTGCAGGTGTTTCTGTTTTGATGGAAATTTGTTAATGTTCCAAAAGCCTTTTCTCCTCTGGCAACTTTACTGACTTTACGTGCAAAACCTGCTTAGTGCGAGGGGGGAAAATCGGCTAACAATTCTTAGATTCCGTAAAATGTTATTCCAAAGTACTTTACATGTACATTTCGTTCGCTACGGGAATGGTGAAATTAGTAAACACAAATTAGTTTTACTTCGAGTTAATATAGTCGGCGAATTATTTACTAGTCAGTTTTTGCTTGGTATCTTCATCATTTTAGTCATTTTATCATTGATTTTATGTGTTGATACCTAAACCTACTAAGTTAAAACCTATTAGCTCTAACTCTCACTTGCTATTAAAGTGGAACCACAGTTAATAGACGGGAATGGATGTGATGCCCGGCTATCATCAAAAGAGCAAACAACGATGCAAGATTTATGTTGGAAGATCCACGACCTTTTTCAATCCTTTGTTTTGCGCTCATACACTTTGCATTGATTACGTAACCAAAACGTTTCTATTGGTCAGTTCCTCAGTCGGTAGTAAACAACAATAATTGTGTTTTGTGCACGGTCAAGGCCAAAACCTAAAGCGAACAAAAACATACAACATAGAATTTTGTCGTGTTCATAACCATTCCCCTCTATCAACGTACCAAGGTGGAACCGTTAATTAAGAGCTATAGCTAGCGTCATGGTGATAATACTTATATTAAAAACTCATATAATTAAAATCTCTTTTACGAATAAGATATAAATTAATTTTTTTTTTTTGGCATTTTTCTAGCTGTTAGCAAAATAATGACATCATGCCTGTATGGAGATGGAGGCCTAGGTGGAATCCACTCACACGGGCTTAAAAACATAGGCGAATTCGTTTTGATGTCATTGCAGATGTAAAAAAAACTTGTCATAAATTCATCTGCTAAAGAAAATGGGATGCAGATCGATGTTTACGAATTTGGATATTGCCAGGCATCTAGTTTCTTTTTGTGTTAAATAAATGAAATTTCTAAGTTTTAAACTGGTTACTTAGGCTATCTCTCCCCCCTGTTTTTCATACGGCAATTTTGGCCAACAGCCCGTCACTTTTTTTTGTTGTAATTATTATACTTGTTATTTTTTCTTAACTTTTTTTGTGTATTTTTTTTCTCACCGTCTTGGTACGGTACAAGTGCTGGCCTGGAGATGACGATACAAACACTCACTGACCTGATTCTTGTCATTACCGTTGCCCGATTCGTAATTAGCCAACGATATCATACTCACTTGACCGAATTTGGTCTCGCCATGGATATTTTGGTTCGACTGCGTCTCGCCACTGAATACGAACCACGGCTCGATCAAACTCGCCTGATATCCCGCCGAAGCGTACCAGAAAGCTAGGGATGATTAGGTATAAATATCCAAAAAGAACTTAATTTTATTAACTACTGTTCTCGGAAAGTATCAATTTGTTATTTCCTGCCTGTTTCGCATTTCTTCATGGTGTAAATGCTGGCTTGGTAGATGACAGTGCGAGCACTCACTGACATGATTATTCTCCACACCAAAGAAGGCTGTCAGCTGATGTTTCATCTTGAGGACTTCTTCCCTAAACTCGCTGTTCAACAGAATATGACAGAAAGGGTTGATCAGTGCATACGTCATCATCAAGCAGTATACCAAGGTTCCTTTCGCGCTCAGAGGACCAAGCTCACTAACATCACTGAAAATTATTTGGAGGCTGTGTTGATAAAACGGGAACAAACAACCCAGAAATATCACCACTTCTATGATGAGGATGCGAACCGCCCTCATGTTCCTTCGATGACGATTTTGCGAGCTTTGGGAAACATCAGATGGATTAATCACGGCATTTCTGCGCAGTGTTAGGATTATCTTTATGTATGCCACCATGAATACTACCCCGGGAAGCCACTGTGTAGCAGGAATGAGCAGGAGAAGGGCGTTTGTTATCCAGGTTTTTTTCGAGTGGGGGATGCAATGAGCACGGTTATTCCTGTCCTCGACTAGGTTTAGTGACAGCGCATACCAGATGCTTGTGAGAAATCCGATAATCCACGAAAGAATTACCAAGAACCTGGCTAAACGAATTGTCATCTGAACAAGAAGAGTGGATAAGAATTATTGTTACTTAGGGTAATGAATTATAATCTGCATATAACATCAAAGTTTCTGCTCTTTAATGTTTACAATGATGTTGCTAATTATTCGTCCTTATGCCACGTTTTCATGTTTTCTGTTGTACTAGTCCATTTTCGCATAAATTATTGGTTTGCAGTATTTTTGCGCGGATACATACATTTCTCTCATGTCAACTGGTGCAATCTATCATGGGAAATGCTAGATGGCGGATTTAGTAATGTCATACGCGGTCATAACCATTCGATAACCGTATCATATCTCAGAGCAAACTCTTGACTATCGATAAAGAATTAAAAAAGGTAAAGAAAAAAAAAAAAGATTATTTGTTAGGTGCCTTATAACAATTAAAATTCAAAGAGGGGTTTTCATCAACCACCCTTGTAGGGGTGGTGAGGTTAAGACTTTGCATTCGAGTCCAAAGATCAACATACAGCTCCCAGGAACGACACTGTTTAGAATGCAAAGCTTTTGTTTTTTTTAGTTACCTGTTTCTTTAGTGGTTTTACTACAGCCTGGTATCTTTCAATGCTCATGAACATCAAGGTCACTATGGAAACCGTTAGGGAGCTCTGTACAATCATGAATACTGTTTTGCATCCTGCGTAACCCAGTCCAGAAGGCCATTCGTTTTGCGCGGAGTAAAGCAGATAAACCGGTATAAACACGAAAATACGGATCAAATCCCCCACTGCCAGATTCAGGTTGAATAGGTTAGTGACGTTGGTGATCCTCCCTTTTCGTAAAATGACTGCAAACAAAAGGATATTTCCAACGGTGCCGAAGACGGAAACGAATAAAAGCGATATTGATCGTAAGACATGATGAACTGAAGTATCTTCCTCAAAATCTGAGGAATTGTTACTGTTTGACATATTGAAGCCCTCTTTTAACTCCTGAAAACTGAGCGTCCTAGAAAGTCTTCCTGGTTTTCGTCGAATGAATGCAAATCAGTGTTGCGTTGTCTCCTTGTTTGATCAAATCAAGGGCCTCAAATACACTGTTTTCACTGCACTGGATGAATGCTGTGTTGGTTTCTTCCAGTTGATGTTTGTTTAAGAAGCCGAAGTACTATAGATGTATAAATGTTTCTAGAGCGGGCTCCGCATGAAAGACCTTTGTCGAAGATTTTCGCGGTGAAATGATGGATTTGATTCTGTTGACCAAATCAGATTGCAGTCCACGGTCAGGGAGAGATTAAACTTTAAGGCACTAACCATTTAACCGAATGTCAGCACTTTTCGAAATGGTCGCCCCACTTCACGAAGAGCAGAATGTGAGAGTTCTGTCGTAACTCCAGCCGCGTCGAAGCAAAACCAGAGAATGATCAGTCGACGGGATCGGCAAACTAAGTCAACCCTTTCTCATTGTCATCTATAAAAAATAAATGTAAATAGACGCACTTTAAAAAGAGCCTCAGCCCACTTGCGTGTCGAATCTTCAAAGTCATCCACTATTGTTTACATGTTTTATCCACTCCTGTGAATTAATTTGATGAAATTGTCTTTTCAGTGATCTTTAAGTCACTCAGGGACACCGGTTTGTATTGTCCGCTAGCGAGCTAAGCCATATGAGAGACAATTGCTTTACAGTCCTTCTGGAGTGAAAATTTAAGGTAGATCAAACGGAAAAAGCTCAAGTGTGGCTTGTATTACTTTCACAGTTAAATTTACTTAAAGCGTATTAAATCCTTGTGATTGGCTTCCGATCATAACATAAATACACAAATCATATTGATGAAAAAAAGGAGAGTGTTTGAAATTTCTTTTGTTGTAAGAGGATCCTACAGTACAAAGGAAGTTGGCAGTGAAAACCCTCAGTAAAAAAGTTTTTTTCCTCTCAATGTCGTCTTTCGTTTGTGCTCTGCTTTTGTCATCCTTTTCTAAAGTTAAGGCATTAACAATGTCTAATCATCAACCAAGGACCATTTTTTTTTATCACCCAGGCAGTAAATTATTGACTTCATTGCTTTTTTTGTTTTTTGTTTTTTTGTTTTTTTTTTTTTCACTTATGATCAGTGTAGATCATAATTTAAATTTGGCCAGGTTAATGAACCAAAACAAACACAATTTAAAAAGAACACCATGAGACACTGTAATTTGCAAATTTTAATTACAAATTACTGATGTTGTCACCCAATGCACGGTCTTACTGTTGTCCTTTACAATTGCGAAAAAATCATTTTTCACAATTTCGTATTCCTAATTATTGAAATTCTGAGGATATTACCTACATAACATATTTTTATGGCAAGAGGTAATCAAGAGAAATAAAATTGAGGTGCTTTTGTGTAAATATTCTTTCTTCCCTTTTCGTGAGACAAGGCAGGTGTTTCTTTTTTGATGGAAATTTTTGATGTCCCAGCGGCGTTTTCTTGCCTCATCAAGTTTACGTTTTTCCTAGGAGGTGCGAACTGCGAGCAATTTATACAATAATGACTTCTTACGAGCTATTATCGCGGCCCCATGCCCTACTGGGGGTAATAAGGATTGATAATGACGGTGCAGTGCTATTATCTCTTTCAGTATATCGTCACTAGCTTTCTCGAAATCCAAAACGGAACTGGAAAATGGACCGTAATTCAAAAACGATTGACACGAAATGGAGACGGTTTCTACCGGTTTCTACACGAAATCGAGACGGTTTCTACCGGTCTCGGTAGAATACAACCATTTGACGAGTCTAAATTTAATCTCCTTGTTGACTCTACCTCTAATTTACCCCTGACGGGTATAATATTTTCGATAAATGTTCAACCAAAAATCTTGACATTTCAAATAAGGTACGTACAAAACAACAAGAAAGTTTGTGAAAATAATTTCAAGTGTAAATCAAATTAAATGTTAAATGCAAAAGATCATAGTTTAGTAAAGAAAGCCAACAGAATTGGAGTATACTCACATTCACCAAAAAGGCACTTTGGTAATGACGGTACGCTTATTACACAGGTGACAATTTTTTGTTTTGGCCGTAGAGTGGGAGTAGCAGAAGAAGCCGAAGGGGAGGAGGACTGGGAACATTCAGTCCCGGGAGGAGACTGGGAATGCCATCCCCCGGCACACAAAAGAACTCTTGCCGAAATAAACACGACGAGATTACAGTGGGAAATTATTTAAAGACCAGAAAAAAAAAATCTTTAAAGCCAGGTTCCTACTTGTGAGATAAGCATAATACTACTGAAATAAGCACATGTATGAGCACAAGAAAAAGAAACATATTTTTTCAGTTCTTGTACTTGCGTTTATACTTCAGTTCACTAGTGTTATGCTTATCTCACAAGTTTGGAACTAGGTTTAAAGAAAAAGAAGGAAAGGAATTGTTATTTAAATTAAATTAACGCCACTTACAGTTAACGTTTACTTTTTTGTCCAAATTGTGATCACTTAATACCGATAACTATACCTCCTCTAACCCGGCATGTACGCCTATCTGTACCAACGAAACCGTACGCACTTTAAACATTTCAAATGAAGCGGGCTACGATTATTGCTATTTCAGGGTGGTAATTATATTTCACAGTTCGAGCAAAAAAAATTCTACTAAAATTATTGGGTTAAAGAGACCTCTTGTGGGCTCTGATTGCTCTGCCATCAGTCAACCCGATAATTAGAAAGGACTGATTACCGCTTTTCCGCAAACTTGAATGGATTCAAAGCACGGGCATTCTTTCTCGAGGCCAACGCAAAGTGCTAATTTGTTTTGTGAAATTTCTGGGATTTTAAGTTGCATTATAACGAATGGTTCATGGACAACAATTAAATTAATGATCTGACTTAACAAACCTTAATGAGAAAGAGAACATTATTTTGTTTAATTACGATCTCAAGTTGGTGACCTGAAATTAAACCACTTTTTCTCCACACACAGACCTGACTGTAGGCACAAACTCATCTCGTCATGTCTATGTTAATCACACTTTGCGGATTAATACTATATAGCACTAATCGGATACCTGTACCATTGGTCACACATCCAGAATCTAGAGAAATGCACAAGGCACTGAAAGAACTGGAATAGTCTGCGACTTGCTCTGGCATGGTTAGTACTTCCACTCAGTTACAGTGGATCATAATTTAACAACATAACAGTCGATTTGAACGACAGCAAAAGACTCGAAATGAGAGCTTAGACTGATTTAGTACGCTGCAGACCTTTATTGACAATCAATAGCTTGAACCAGGAAGTGAGGGCTGGAAGAATAATAGATCAACGCGAATTTGAATAATGCGGTTGCCAGAATCAAAAACTCCTGGGATCAAGATTAGGATTCTTCTTCTCTACTTGCAGTTTTACAGTACTAGTCCGGTCTAATTTCCTGCTCGGGAGCGCTGGATTTGGCAGACAGGTCAAGTCATAGGAAGCACAGTTTACAATAGTGTGAAACCTAGGTCTATTAGAATTTCCTTGCAGAACCTGACAAGTAATAACGACTAAACAGTGTAAACAGCGTAAGAAATGTTCTATGTCAGTATTTTGTAAAGTAAGGAATTTAAGCTGTGTAATTGTTGGTATTACAAGTGGTTTCTGTTTTTGTTGTTGTTGTTGATGTTATGTGCTCAAGTTAATTCTAAGTAAGCAATGGTTGGCAGTATAAATGTTAAAAAGGAATTAACCTTGTAACTAGTGTATTGCAAGTAGTTCGTAGTGTTTTTTCCTTAGTCTAGGTAGTTTTGTTTCTTTTCTGTAACCAATACGTGTTCAATAAAGTTCATTATTATCATTAAAACACTGTATATACTACATTGACTGATACTTAGCGGCAGACACCAAAGCAAAAATGGAGATCCCAACATAGCTCAGTAGCACTGCAGAGGACTGAATTTTTCTGTTATTTTTGCTGTCTGTTCTATCTAATCGTCAGGATTCTGTCAGAATTAGATCTAGTATATTTTTTTTCTGCAGTCATGCTGGAAGTGAATCTGAGTCAGTCAATTGCCGAATAGAACCAAAGGTTATTTATAAAATAAGAATAAGCTCAGCAAATAGAGCAATAACTCTAAGGTCGCTTAAGAAGGACCATGAATACCTTTCACTGACCCCATATTTTTCAAGCTGCTGCCCCTTCTTCCTTGGTTATGTCAGAAATGCCTTGACAGGTCATGTGCTACTCAATTTCTCGTTTTTGGCCGACAGTTAAAACTCGCTCCCCTCAAATTTCCGAACACAGTCAACTTTCTATTTTACAAAGCGGAGTTTGAACTCAGCTCCAACGAACTTATTTTGTTTCACGTTTTTGTTGCGTTGTGGAAAGGTAAATTTAGGTCTTGATAAACAAAAGAATCGATTTCAGTTGAAAATAAAGCTAGTATGATTTATCAGAGATGCATGGTAACGTATTTTAGATTATAATTGACGGCGAGCAACACAGCAACAAGTCCGAAGAGCTATATGATAATTAACAATTAGACTCGTGACCCTTGAGGGCGAAGGGTCTAATTGTTTTAGTATCACCCAACTAGTCGGACAGAAAAGGCAATAATAAAGTTAGNAGTCCTCTAGTAGCGTAGCCAATTAAAATGCAGGATTTGCATTAGTCCACTAGTTGGGTGATACTAATACAGAGTAATAACATTCTAAAGATTCGATTTGTTTAAATTTGGATGAAAGTATTAAACACCTCCCCCTTAAAATTTTCATAAACAAAGTTAAGCTTAAAATCTAACAATCAAATTGATAACATTCATGACTTTTGATCACTTTATGAGGTTTGGCTTTATTTCTAGGTATTTAATGTTTTAATATATCGCCAAATAATTAATTTTTTTTTGAAAAAAGGTATTTAGTTATTTACTGATTTATTCCACTCACTTATTTATTGTTTTTTTCTTTGTTCCCTTGTTTTGTCTCCTTACTGCCTTGCCCCCTTAAGCTTTACTGTAAATAAACTTCTTTATATACGCACTATTTAATTCTACTCAACTCGATTAGCTTTCAAGTTATTCTGCGTGAACTTGATTTACCTAATTTTCTGTTCCAATTGTCTTTTTTTTTAAACTAAGAATTTTCCCGTTTTTGCAATAAATTGCGTGTGTTGTTGTTGTTGTTGTTAAATTTTAATAAATTTAGCTAGTGCGACAGGTCTATCGACAAGTATCCCATGCAAGGAAGAGACTCTAGCAGGGTGAGTTACATGTCAGATTTAAGTTTAACTGAAAATTGGCTGCATTGCAGCAGAGTATACGTAATTTCATTACCAAAAGCGTTAATTGGAATGGAGTAATTACTTATTTCACTCTGGGCGAAATTAAAACACCAGTCATCCATGTTAGCAACAGCAATTTTAACAATTCAGCACTAGTAACATGGTCAACTTTAACTTGTTCATAAAGAACTTCAAATTATGAATTTGATCAACAGAGAACAAAGCCGTTGTTTTCCATATGATCGTGTCTATCACAAACGAATTAGAAATTGGTTGTAGTGTCTTATTTGATGGTAAAATGTTTTGCCTTAAATACTTTCGAGTACAATTGCTCGCAAATTGAATATTGCCCTGACGTGACGTAATGTTGCCCATAATGTTCATAACACCACAGGCGGTCCAGACGTTGTATACGATTAATATGTGACATTATGCTGTTGGCGATTACGTTACAATTTTAGCCGTTTATAAGACAATGTATGAGAATGCTTCGAAAATTACTCTAAATGCTACG